GGACTAGAGGAGACATGATAGCAGTCTTCCAATATCTCAGGGGCTGCCCCAAAGAAGAGAGAGTCAAGCTATTCTCCAAAGGGCAGAACAAGAAGCAATGGTTGGAAACTAATCAAGGAAAGAAGCAACTTAGAACTAAGGAGAAATTTCCTGACAATTAGAACAATTAACCAGTGGAACAACTTGCCTCCAGACGTTGTGAATGCTCCAACACTGGAAGTTTCTAGGAAGAAGTTGGATAGCCCATTTGTCTGAAGTGGTGTAGGGCTTCCTGCCTGAGCAGGGGGTTGGACTAGAGGACCTCGGTGGTCCCTTTCAACTCTTGTTATTTTTCTCCCCGAAAACTAAGGTGCGTCTTATACTCCGGAGCGTCTTATTCCTCTGAAAAATACGGTACTTCTCTGTTTTACAGATCTGTCATTTCAGCACCCATTTTTTCCCCCCAAAGTTAAAAAAAACCAAAACAATAAAAATAAATAAATAAACTGACAGTCATCGCACATTTTTATAGATTCAGTTTTATCTCTGTGGAATAGCAGCTTCTGGAGCAGAGGTGTGTTTGAGTGTGAGTTTGTCAAAAAGTCAGGATGGCAGCTAGGAGTATTAATCAACACATATAAAAAGGGTGAGATGCCTTTTCATAATCACCTTCTTGACTATTTTCGACCTTCCCTGCAGATAGCCTGGCTTTGGAACAGGCATGAAATGCTCGAATCTTTGCTACTGGCTTGGAACCGGGAGTGTGCACGCTAGCTTCGCACGCACGCAGCGCTTCTGCGCATGCACAGGGCATCTGTGATGATGTCTGGGCAGATGGGCGGAGACTTCCGCCACCACTACTACCGGTTCGCCCTAACCAGGGCAAACTGGTAAAATACCACTTCTACTCTGGAGGCTGAATGTTGACTTGTCAATTCAGACATTATGCAAATCTATAATTATGAAACACAGCACCGTATTTTTCAGAGTATAAGATGCACCTCCCCCCCCACAAAGAGCGTGGAAATGTTGGTGCATCTTATACACCGAATACAGCCGTTTTTGGCCTCCTGAAGCCCCACCCCTGCATCCCATTTTTGCGAAAAAATGGGCCGTTTTTCACAAAAACTGAGGCGTTTTTGCCTTCCCCCAGTCCCCAGAAAGCACTCTGCAGGCTTCAGCAGAGGGGGAAGGCAAAAATGCCCCTGATTTTGTGAAAAAACGGCCCATTTTCCACAAAAACGGAGGTGTTTTTGTCTTCCCCTAGCCCGCAGAGTGCTCCTGAGGGCTGGGGAGGACAACGTTTTTTTCTTATTTACCTCTTCAAAATCTTGGTGCGTTTTATAGACCGGTGCATCTTTTTTTTATATATATCAATTTTTTTTTATTTATTTATTTATTTATTTTTTTTATTTATTTTCAAAACAAACATATATTGTAGAAAGTATATCAGCTGGTTACAAAAAGCTTTTG